AAGGTATGGTAATTCCTATAATATTAGTGATGTTGAAAAGTAATCGATTAGATTTGTTTTTCGTTCTAAATTCATATATGGTTACTATTTATATACACATAAACATTTTATATAAATACAAATTACACTTAATACATACATACACATGCAACGATTGCTTGATCAAGAGGATTACCACTAATGTGTTATCTAATATTTATCTACAAAACTACATAAAATTGTTAAGTTCCGACCTTACTACTTTATTTTCAAGTACCTACCGAAATTTAAAGTCTTATTGTGAGTCTAAATTACAGCTTATCATTATAAACAGTAAAGTATTTCGGAACACATTATTTTTGTTTGTTTATGATTCATTTTCACTTTAATTGTTCTTTGTTTTAATAGCCGTTTATAATAATCTAAAAAAAGGGTTTAAGCCTGTACTACCAAAATGTTCGTGGTTTACGGACGAAATGTAATGAACTATATAACAATATCTTATCTCAAGACTATGATATAATCTTATTGACCGAAACCTGGTTAAAAAGTGATATTTATAATAACGAACTATGTGATCTTAGATATGATGTTTTTCGAAGTGATCGTAATTATTTATTGTCAGGGAAAAAGGTCGGTGGCGGAGTGTTAGTCTGCATACGTCGCGAATTGAGTGCATGTCTATGCGGCCAATGGTCCAGTGCACCTACAACGCATGAGTCGGTGTGCGTGACTTTACCTGCACGTACGCTTGGGTCCTCAGTCGATCTACATATAGCTATAGCGTACATTCCACCTGACTCGAACGTAATACAGAGTGGATTGAATGATATTAAGCATAACTTATCGCATTGCATTGATAATTATCCCATGGACAATTTTTTACTCGTGGGAGATTTTAACTTACCGTGTTTGAGATGGGACTCCAACAATTGTATTGCACACGTAGACGGTTCATCTTTTATGCATAATTTAGCGATATCTTTCGTTGATGATTTAGGTTACCTCGGTCTTAAGCAATACAATTATAATTGTAACTCAAAAGGTAATATTCTGGATCTATGTTTTTGCAATTTACCATTGGTTGTTAGAGCTTCGTTACCTCTCATAAAGGAAGATATATATCATCCTGCATTAAATATTGAAATACCTGATTTTAGCATACAACCCTTTAAAAAACGTAAACATCCGCGTTTTAACTTTTTCAAATGTGACTATGAGAAGATGAATAATTATTTTAAAAATATTGACTGGCGCTCAGAATTAAATGCCGCCGACACAATTAATGAAGCCGTAGATCTTTTTTACAGTAAATTACATGAATGTTTCTCCATTTACGTACCCATTAACATGTATTCTAACAACCGACATTTTTATCCTGTATGGTATTCTTCTTCACTAATAAAAATCATTCGCGAAAAATGGCGCGCTCATTGTAATTGGAAAAAATACCGTAACCCAAGAGATTATGATGAATTTTCGTTTTTAAGAGCACGACAACACCGTATTCAACTTAATTGTTTTAACTTTTTTACAAACAATGCTGAACAATATATTAGGTCCAATCCTAAACACTTTTGGAAATATGTCAGTTCGAAAAGGGGCTGTTCCAGTTATCCAAGAAAATTTACACTACGAGGCCAGACATATGACGAGGGTGCAAGTATTTGCTCAGCTTTTAATAAATTTTTTCAAAGTGTTTTTATTACACCTTCATCAAGTAGCCAAACTCAGCCTCGTCAGACATTTGAGTACTCTAGTACGGAATCATTATCCCGCATACATATTACTAGAGAAACAGTTCTTAAATTCCTAAAATCACTTGATAAATCTAAGGGACCTGGAACTGATGGTATTCCCCCTATTGTATTGATTTCATGTGCTGATAGCTTGTCATTGCCAATTACTATTTTGTTTTGTCGTTCTCTCGATGAATGTATTTTCCCAGATTTATGGAAAAAAGCAAATATAATTCCCATACATAAAAAAAGGACCAAAAACCTCAATTGAAAATTACCGTCCGATTTCTATTTTGAACACTATCAGTAAGATTTTCGAAAAAATTGTTTACAGCTTCATTTACCCCCCTTATAATCCGTGGCATTCCTGATACACAGCATGGCTTCATAAAAGGACGGTCTACGGTATCGAATTTGTCTTTGTTCTCAAGTTATGTCCTCCTGCATATGGAGAATGGTGGTCAGGTGGACGTGGTCTACACTGATTTTGAAAAAGCTTTCGATCGTGTAGACCACGACCTCTTGCTCCGCAAGCTCTATTTGCTTGGAATTCAAGGAGACCTACTCCGCTGGGTGTGCTCCTACCTTTCCAATCGCTCTCAAGTTGTAGTGCTGGGAGGATACAGATCCGACTATGTAACTGTTCCCTCGGGTGTCCCTCAGGGATCGCACCTTGGCCCGCTATTCTACAATGCGTACATCTTTGACATTGCCAACTGTTTTTCTTATTCTAATCACCTATTATATGCAGATGATAAAAAAATATATCGGGCAGTTAATTCTGTTGAAGATTGTAAATTGTTACAATACGATTTGGATAAACTGTTTTCTTATTATCAACAAAACAACATCTTCGTTAATATTAAAAAATGTCAGAGTATAAGCTTTACGCGCAAGAAAAGTCCAATTGTTTTTCCTTATAACTTTAATAATCAACTATTAACGCGGGTCAATGATGTACGCGATCTCGGCATTTGTTTTGACTCCAAGATGCTCCTCAATATGCATTATGATAATATAGCAGATAGAGCTTACCGTATGCTTGGATTTGTTCTAAGAACCTGTCAACCGTTTAAAGGTACTTTAGCATTGAAAACGTTATATTTTGCATATGTGAGAAGCATACTGGAGTACGCTAGTCCTATATGGTCGCCTTCATATGAAGTTTATAAGGCACGCTTAGAGCGTATTCAGAAAAAGTTTTTAAAATCTCTAAATTTCAGGTGCGACGGCATTGCACACACATTTATGTCTTATAGTGATAATTGTCGTAAATTTAATTTTCTCACGTTAGCGGAACGCCGTGAGATCTTAGACATGGGTTTTTTGTTCGATATTTTACGCGCTCAACTTGATTGCCCTGCTCTTCTTTCACAAATATCCTTTAATGTACCCCGACGTAGGACTAGGCATACACCTTTACTGGGTGTTCCCTTACATCATACTAATTATGGTAAGAATTGTGTCCTCTCCAGAATGGTTAGAACTTTTAACACAAAATTTTCTCATATTGACCCATTTATCCATTCAAAAAAGAAAGGTAGTACAGGCTTTGACAGTAGACAATTAACCTTTATTGTTTATGTTGGTAGCCTCTGTAGTTTTGTAAATCCGTAGTAATATCTCAAGTTATATGTCTTCAATTCGCGTATATTCTATGTATGTATATTTATTTAAATGTTAGTATATATATACTTGCCTTTTTTATTTAAATGTATAAGTGTTTAATTATAATATGGTTATATGTATATGTGTATATGTATGTGCTTACATGTGTAAATATTATCCAATTGAAGTATAAATAATTTTCTAGGTCAGCCATGACAAACATTTTAAATTTATTTTTGATTTAAGGTTTTGTAATATTCTTTTTTTCAACTTTTCATACTTCTGATTTGTGATAAATTGTGAAAAGAGGATGACTATTATTGGCCCTATGTAAAACATATTATATAAGATTTTTTTTTCATAGAATGAAGGCTGTTGTTATCCCTAATAAATAAATAAATAAATAAATAAATAAATTCTTAAATCATCTTCAAAATCCGAATGCAGATGCGTTGTCACCCGTGGGGACTAAGATGGAATGCCTCATTTCCAGTAAAAAGGGTATCCGGTTCTCTATACTCACCATACGACACAGCAGCATTAAGCTACTATTTGACGCTGGTATTCCGTGAGAGCATGGTTCTTCCCTGGTCAGGCCGACCCATTCGTACTACAACTATACTTAAAAAATTCACTGCGGCTGCAACTATTTGACAGAAACCTTGAGCTGCATACTTCACCTTCATTTTAGGCAGCACATAATGAATTGTTAATTTGTTTAACATTCTTAAATCATCTTCAACATCAATTTGTAAAAGCATTTTTAAATGTTCCCATTTTGCCGTCATTGAAAATGAATTTTATATTTTTATTAATCCAATTATTTCTTAATCCCTTTAATAAATGGGGAGGATTATAAATATGGAATAAAGGTATATTATCAATTTCTAGACTTTATTACTATTTTATTATTACTATATACTATTATGCCTCAAATATTTTTCTTTTGTATCTTTTAAAAAAGAATTAATTGCAGATACATTAGATGTGCCTTGGTCACAAATTGTAGGGACAATAATTAAGCACACATTCTCTTAATCTTCTAATTATATCAATAATTAATGCTTTCAATATATGGCTTTTATTTGCACTTTGGCAGAACTGGTAACAAAGGGCTCTTTGTATTTGCTCTTTATCCCTTTTATCAAACAAGACAATGGTCTGCAATTTTCTCGGTATCTCTTAAAACCAATTATCTGATCAATACTCTTATTATAATATAAAGCAGGAACTAAGGCAATCTCATCAAACATTAAGTTGCATAGCCTTTGTTCAGGTGTCATTTTATACATTTCTTTTTATTTAAATTATTTTCATTCAATCCCGGTTCAATCATTTTATTTTCAAGGATTTTCTAGAGTAAGTACGTTTGGATGGTAGTACCAAAATTTTGGTTAAAAAGTTATAAGCCCTAGAACTTTGTTTTAGCATTGATAATGCAAAATTTTTCTCTTTTAGAGTAAACTTTCTGCCTTTTGGTTTCTGTAGATTTCAAAACAAAGTTTCATAAAAGTCGATATTGTTTTTGGCAGCTTATCAATTATGTTTATTAAGCTTTCATATCTGCTTACCATCTCTGCTACACTGTAGGACTTTTTAACATCTTTGCACTTATTTTGTAATTTCAACAGCCTCGTTTTATTTGTTAGTAAGTCTTAAAATTTTTAATCTTCTCTATGTTACTTTTCTGTTGACTTTCTTCTTACTTCCAGCTGAAAGCAAACAGAATAAAAAAAATATTTTTCTGTTAAAAGATATACAAAAAACTGTCAGTAATTAAATTGCCTTTTAAAAGATATAATAACTATTGGCTGTGACTTAGCTTAGCTTAGACAGTAGTAAATTTTTTATAGAAAAAGGGTGGCAAACAAGCACACAGTCCACCTGATGGGAAGAAGATGCTGTGGTACCTAAACATCTACATTTATCTGAAATTTAGAATCAAAATGGAGATGCGTTGTCACCCCTGAGGACTAAGATGAAATGCCTTGCTTACAGTAAAAAAGATTCTCCAGTCACTATACGAAACACAGCAGCATAAAGCTGCTATTTCACGCTATTATTGTAAGAGCGTGGTCACTGGTTGAGCTGACAAATTCGTGCTACAACCATTAATATAGCTGCAGCGTGGCTCTACCATGTTCAGTATATTAAACAAGCCTTCATCAAATCAAACCACATTTGTTGCTTTAAAAAATGATGAGACTCTCAGGCACAATCATACTCCCTATTCCATTCAATAATCCTTCCTAGTGTGAGGTTATGCTAAAAAGGTATTTGCAGCTTCTACTATGCAAATTCCATGTTTCTTACATAATAGTTAATAATCTGCTATAATAAATCAGTTAATCCAGCTATTTCACTTTATTTATACATAAGTATGGGATAATCGTATTGTTTAACCTAATGGAATGCGACAGATTTTTCATATTCCCTTAGTCTTTTCTATATAATTACGTCAATGCAAATTTGTATACATCCATTAAAAATGGCAGATTGTAAAAATGTAATTCGGAATTCGGAAAAGTTGCTGATTTTTTAAAGTTTAATGATAATATATTTTACCGAAATAACCCTTATCAGTTAGTATGTTATTCATTTTATGTAAGAAATGGAAAATATTTGTTAATGTTTCTATTAGCACACACACTTGAGATACAAGTTTATCCTAGTTCAGGTGCCTGTTATAGTAGATTATTTTAAATTAGGACATTATTTTAATTTATTGTACAGTTTATTGAAATAAAAACTATTAAATTTAATTTAAGCATTGATCTACTACTAAATGAATAGAACAAAATTCACGAAAAATGTGTCCCAGTTAACCAATATTAAGTGTAACACATATAGAAATACAAAAAACTATAACATCCTAGTTCAAACCATATTGTTGTTATAAAACTACTCAATTTTACTTGTGACAATTTATCGGCCTATTGATTTTGACTAGAGGTTGCACTATTTTCACCTTATGAAGATTCTAGTGAAAATTATTGGTATGGTTATTTGTTTTACAATTAATATGAATTTAAATTAAATACTGTGTACATATCTACGCATAATATTACTTTTAAATGGTTAAGTATTAGTAGTTCTTATGGAATAAATAGTTTTTTTATGTTTTCACATTACAGTATGGCATTTTGGAGATTGCATTTTGCATTTTGAAACTTTTTTGGCTGGGACACTAGTTCGGACCCCAGTATGTAAGCATTAAAAACAGAAAAAGAACCATCGCTTAAACAAACAAAATATATTCTAATCTAATTTATTTAATGTTATTATAAGATAATATTTGACAGTACAGCCAATTTATATTCAGCAGACATACTAACTAAATAATACATATTACTTGATACGATTTTTACTTACCTCTTAGTTGTTGAGGTTCAAAATGTTTTCTAATTCGATATGCATCCTTTGAAGTAGAGGCCTTTGGTAAAGTTTCTGAAAAAATATAGTGTATCATTATGCTTGAGTAAAAGATGCCAAAATTATTAATCGACAAATGCTTTTATTAATAAATTTTTTATTATTTTATTTAACAAGTACACTTACAATACACATATATGCTATAATCACAAAAACATACACATTTCTATACTCTCTGATATGTATATCAATAACAAGTGTACATAATATTAATTTTTTTACATGGTAGAGCCACGCTGCAGCTATATTATGGTTGTAGCAAGAATGGGTTGGCTGGACCGGGGAAGGACCACGCTCTCACAGAAAACCAGAGTAAAACAGCAGCTAAATCCTGCTGTGTTTTGTATGGTGAGTGTAGAGAACCGGAGACCCGTTTTACTGGGGTCGAAACATTCCATCTTAGTCCTCAGGAGTACAAAGTATCTGCATTTTGATTTTTAATTGAATGTAAGATATCTATGGGCCACAGCATCCACATACCATCAGGTGGACTGCGTCCTCGTTTGTTACCCTTATCTTATAAAAAAAGAAGATTAAGTCATGCAATTTTCAGTTCAATACTCATTAACTGAAACATTCAGGATCAGAAGAGTGCCACTCAGTAGCAATTACATTAATATATGCTCATGAGCATTACAAGAAAACACATCGCCGTATTGAGTGGGAAATATGGGGCTGGGGAAAAGGGGTTATAATCAAGAACACTGCACATAACCAGGACCAGGCACTCTCAGTGTATGACAGGCATGCGTAAGTGTACTCAACGAATAACAAGCTTTAAATGAAAAATTTACCTTCAGTAGTATGTGAAATTTCAGTATGAATATTCATCATCGAAGATCCAGTTGAAACCATTCCTAAAAACCAAATTATATTGTATAAACATATATATATATATTTACATTTTGTACGCCCTGGGTGCAATCCTAAGAATACACCAACCGAAGATATCATCATGAATAAGGCATGCTTTTAATTCTTATATTTAAATATTTACTTTTAGTGGAACTTGCAGTTTCAGAGTTTTCACTGTCCAAAGTTCTATATTGATGAGCTGAAATAATTTTAATGCATATGAATTCTACTAAAGAGAAGATACTAAGTTAAGGTTTGCAATAAATTTAGGCACAATTTTTTCTGGTATAGTTTATGTATGAATATTCAGAATACTTTCAGTTTTATGAAAGCTTACATTAAATATGTAAAAATTATTATTATTCTATGACAATTTCTTAGAATTCGTGATAGCTCAGTGGGTTAGCGCTCGCTGCAAATTTCACAGTACATGAGCAACCTGGGTTCGATCCCCGCCGGACCAATGAGTTTGTTAATTGCAAATTTAGGTGCTAATTTACCACATGCTCTGCGGTGAAGGAAAACATCGTGAGGAAACCGGCATGTCTGAGAAATGAAAAACAATATTTTGAAGACAATTGAAGTCCACCAACATGCATTAGGGCTGCGCGGAGGACTTTTTCTAGCCCTAAAACCTTCTTAGTAGTGAAAGGAGGCCTGTGCTCAGCAGTGGGACCTATAAAGGCAGTTACTTTACTTTTTTAGAATTACAGCATTCTTGTTATTAAATTTTCAAAAATTATTGACAAATTGCTTTTCTGTTCTAAAAAAATCTAAATGTAATGTCTAAGAAATTTCATCTGATGAGGGGTTTCATTTCAAGTTTCCTGTTTTTTTTTGGAGGTGATATACCAATGACTTTTTTTGCGGGTGGCTGATTGCCAATAGTTTTTTATTATACATAGCTAGTGGATTCTCCTATGTTACCACTACATAGAAATTACACTTCTGCACTACATACCTACTTACCAGTGGCGTAGCTACCTTGGGGCTAGGCGGGGCAACTGCCCGGGGCCCCCAAGCTAAAAGGGCCCCTCAGCCTCCATGATGACTACATTAGAACAAACTATACATAATATCTTAAATAAATAAAAAAAATTCTTGCCCCTGACCAACAAACTATGAATGGCTCGAACTTAAATCACAAAAAGTTCTCACACCTAAACATCATTGTTAAAATAAAATCACATACTTTGTTTTATTGTCTAAGTACCAATATTATAAATTAAAATAGTTTCGGGACTAAAAGACGAAGTAAGAAAAAGTAAAAGTAATAGTGAAAAGTAGTGTACGTATTAGTTAAAAGTATCGCATTCCCACGGGGGGAATTTTATTGAGGAAATTGCTGTTTTATTTATCAAGATCCTTCAGTGTTCATCCTAATAGTAGGGTAAAGAAGAAATGTACAGTCCACATGGCACATACGACAGGCGTCTAGACCGGGACCAATAAGGGGCTCATCATCTTCGTCGCCCACCCTTTCTTTTAAAAAAGCCATCTTTTTTATTTTGGTATATTATTGATGTCAAAGGTTTGTCATTACTGCCATTTATTACAGTATGTATTTATTTACAATAATTTTAATTTAGACGAAATGCCCATGTTAACTAACATATCTATCAAGATGAATATTAATACCAAATAAGAGAAAACATCTTCGCAAATAAGCAATTATTTTCAATTATTAAAGGCGATAGATATATTATTATGCTAGCGTGGACTTTTGGTCTAGACGTTTTGAAGAACCACAATTCCTTAGTACATTATTTTGATGTATCTCAAAGTTTAACCAGCTAAGAAAGTGCCCTAATAATAATTTTTTGATGATTTAATTACTAAATATTGAACTCTTTCTACTACTCAAACTTAATTTGAATGTACTGTACATATCTACTAACCTTCCGTAAAAAAATATCCAAATCACAGTGAAAAACTTATCAAAATCTGTCGTGTGGTTGCGTAATTTAAAAGAAGTAAATAGGTAAGGGTTTTTTTTTGAAAAATGGAAAACTATGTATTCATTTCATTTGTCAACAGAGAACTCAACAGTCAATCACCCCGTAAAGTAGAGTGTCGTACAAACTGTAACACATTATTTCACCCTCTGAAGGTTGGAATTTATCAAAATCCCATCTCAGTAAATGCCTATGTAATAAAAGGAAGACAATTTGAGCTTTATGCTGGTATTCTGTGAAAGCGTGGATCTACCCGTCGAGCCGACCCATAATATAGCTGCAGCGTGGCTCTACTACATATTATACAGAGTAACTTTAGTAAGTTTTAATTTAATCGCCCCGTAAAATAAAAATGTTCATACAAACTATAACACCCTATTTCATCCCCTTAGAGGTCGAATTTTCCTAAATTATTTCACTCTCAATTATTGTCCAATTTTCAGATTTTTACGTATAGCGGTTTGGGCTTAGTGTTGAAAATTTTTTACAGATTAAGAAGTACAATTAAATATTATCTGTTGCCTTACAGATACTAGATAGTAGCTTTGCTTTATTATGCCCAGTAGGCTGTAAGTAGCTGAAGAATAAGTAGTTTTGCATCTTTAAAGTAGGTATTAAGTTTGGTTCAAATATTTTCCCTATTTAATTTTTGCCCCGGGGCCCTTGATTGCATAGCTACGCCACTGCTAACCCAATAAGCAAGCATATACTTACATAAATACTAAAATAATACTGCTATATACTTACTAAATTTAAAGTGGGATAAATGTTAGCAGTAAGCCTTTTTCCAACAGTGCGAAACTTTTGTTCATACACATATGTAGATACTTCTTAATATATATGAAGTCCCTCTGAGTTTCGTTTCCTCAGACAATACTGCCAACCACATATTAAAACTAGCTTTGTTATAATAGCCAGGTTTTGGAAAACGATGCATAGGTACTGAAAATAAAAACAATATGCGTTTGTTATGTTCCTATTGTAATCTTAAAATAAGATACATATTCATTTACGCAAATACTTACCATCTAGCTTACAGCAAAAATAATACAATTTCGTATGCATTACGTATTCCAATGTAGAAACAGTCGTACAAATTAAAAGGAAAAACCAAAATCCGTAATGAATATTGAATGCCAATGTCGTGCGTAGTAGTAGATAATCCAAAGTCCGTATTGGGTGTCGAGTTTGTAGATACAGTAGAAAAATTCAGAATCCGTAAGTAATACCAAGTCATAATAAAGTATTTCACTAATGCAATCTTCATGACGCAAACGACGAAACAGAAAGCAGAAAGTCACAAAAAATTCAAAACTTTTCTACCAGCCTGCAGTGTCAAAAGTTGCCATAATCAGAATTATGAATTACAAATTGCTTAATACCATATAAGTAACATTTGAAAACAATTAAAAAATCACTGCCAAAATCACTGCTTTAATAACATTTGAAGAGGAGTGTTTTTTTTAGTTTATTATTATTTTTTTATTGTAAAGTTTGCAATAATTGAAAACCAAAACAAAACACAATTAAAATAATTCTTCCAATTCCACCACGTTCTTTATATGGCCACCCAACCCTTTCAACACCGCCATCTATTAGAATTTATTAATTTAGAGTAAAATTTATTTTCTATTAGAATTTTGTTTGTAAAACGTTTACTTAAGTTGCATGACGGCGTTCTAAAGATGGCGCTCAGGCGGCACACAAAATTTCAGTGTTAGGTTTGTATCGAAGTTTCACCCCCCTGGTTATCGTTCAAATTATATAAACCAATTATAATGAGGGCCAATCACTGACCTCTGTATATACGTACTTGTATAAATATAGATCAGTGATATAGAGGTCAGTGGGACTAATAAACTTCCGGTCGCTAGATGTCGCTAGTAGACACTAAGGTCAAGATTTTTGTTACAAAATACCATTTATATTGATAAGTAAGTTTTAAATAAAAGTTTATCGGTTTCTACAGTATTGTATTAATGCACAAAATAATGCTATAGTGGTCCGCTGTTTAATTTTGCAATTTTTAACTCTTTTTTATATTTTTGTACTTTTATTTATATTTGTGGTTTTGTTTATTTATTTTTAATGTAATTAATATAACTTTATAGTACAAAAAAATTAACCCTAACATTTTTCAAACAAATCTATTTCCCCGCCATGAAATCTATACAATAAAATTAATTTTAATGCACACCTAAATACCTGCCATCTGTCACAAAATCAAGTTATTTTTGTAAGATACCTCCGATGAATAGTTGCGTAGTTTTATCTCTTGATACTAGATGTCACTAAGGCTAATTAAGTGAATAATTTTGAAAATATTTTCTTTCAAGCATCAAGACAAGAGCAGTACATTACAGCAGCTCTTGATGAGTGCAGTACATTAGTAAGGTACATCATTTCACAACAAAATCAAATGGCATTTTTTAAATAAGATCCAACATAAATATCTACTTGAAACATATTTATACATATAATTAAAATAATTATAAAATGTAATTCTAAATTAGTATCAATGATAAATGACATTTCAATAAAAATCTACGATAGCAGAAAATCGAGAGGAATCTGTTACTTGATAATACGCTTGTATATGTGGTTAGTCATATTAAGCGTGTTTAGGGCTTAAAAACAGGATGGCAGCAATACAAAAAAGTTCCTCCAAGGTCCGATAGATGGCAGTATTATTACTATACACGATACACTATATTACTGAACACGAGTGATCACGGCAAACTTTCTGTGGGATTTATTTTCCTCATAGATCCAAAGTTTTTGAGACCCGAAAGGACTCACCGTCCATTAACTTATCTGTAATGACGTCATGACTATTTAACGTGTAATATTCGTTAATGTGAAAAGTTGAGCTTCGTAAAGATAAAACCTATGTAGGTACGATGAGTGCGTCATCGGTCATCTATCTTAGTCTGTCTTATGGCTTATCAAGACATTTGACTCACTCAAACATGGATATAAATTGAGACTTTTTTTATATAACTAGTCTTCATCCAATCGCTAAGTAATAGGTACTAGCGAGTTAATGAAGTGGCATCGTTCGTTAACGACACTTAGGCTGCGAAGAGTTTGCGGTTCTGAGACTGAATACAAAATTTCGATATCATTTTGTGTTATCTTTTACTAGAGCATGATTGGGTCCGATTAATTATACTTGATAGAATACAAGAAACACACAGAGCTAAATTTAAAGCTTCGCATTTACAAATAAATACGATTTTGTATTTATTTGAAAATGCGAAGCTTTAAATTTAGCTTTTGTTGTTTACTGTTGATGTGTTTTGTAATATTGACATTATTTAGCGTAATATTATTATAATAGAGAGATAACGCGCAGGATCAACGGCTTCACGTGCTTTCCGTGGCAAGGGGTAAAACATCGCTAACTTTCTGACTGATGATAATGACCCAATAACTGATTTTTGGCCTGACACGGGATTCGAATCCGGGACCTCATGACCAGCAATCGCGTTTACGACCGTTAGGCCAACGAGGCAGTCAGGTCAGTTTATCGTAGTCATTGAGTTAGTGTAATATATAAATCAATGATCGTAGTGCTGTATTTGAGTCAATTACTGTCTATCATAAAGAAATAAAGATATTATGATATATACTCGTAGTGGCGACATAATAGGATCGATCAACCTATTGCTCGGGCGAGTAGCTACGTGGAGTTTAAAAAAAATCTTTTAGTTTACGGTCAGATTGTGGTACCTACAGCATTTCGTTTACGCCACATCATCAGACGAGTCTGAGTATTTTACGTCTGTAGCATTCCAAGTGCGAGACGTCTGGTACTGCAGTGGTCAATATACCTACCAAACCTGACTATAAAAAATTAATTCTCCTGATACCTAATTGGAAAAGTTCCTTTCTAGCCGTGAACTTCTAAGGGCTGTTGATGATAAATTATAATGATGAATGATGTTATTTTCTGTGCTGTCTGATTTTGCGTCGGGTAATATTTTGGTTGCCAAAATTCTGACTTGCTTTGTGCTATAGGATATCATCGATTGCATTAACTGTTAATTAAAAAAAAAGAAGAATGAGAATGAAAAACGAGCGAACAGCTCACCTGGTGGTAAGTGGATGCTGTGGCCCAAAGACTTCTACATCTATCCTCGATTAAGGATCAAAATGCTGACGCGTTGTCACCCCTGAGGACTAAGGTGGAATGCCTCGTTTCCAGTAAAAAGGGTTCCCGGTTCTGTACACTCACCATGCGAAACACAACAGCATTGTGCTGGTGTTTTACGCTGGTATTCGGTGACAGCGTGGTCCTTCCCCGGTCTAACAAACCTATTCGTGTCACGAACACAATGGGTGCGTTTGGCAGAAATAAGCGCTAGCAAGCGCTTATAAGCGCTAAAATAGTTTTCGGCCAGGACACGATTGCTACTTCAGTAGCGCTGACACAATCCGCCATTTTGCTTATTTAATTTGTTTGTTTTGAAGTAGAGTTTATAAGTTGTTTTGTGCAATATTAGTTTTAAGTAATATAATTACATGAATAAACATATACATGCTATTAAAAATTCATGATTGGTAAGTTTTAATATGAATACTTTACAAACAAATATTTAAATTAGATTAGATTCCCCGGTTAAAACTAACATCGTGTCCTGGAGGAAAATAGCTACTTACGATTTGACAGCGCTTACTGCTTTTTTGCTTAGAAGCGCTTGCTAGCGCTTTTTTCTGCCAAACGCACCCAATATGTAGTTGTAAAATATCGTAAAAATCGTTTAAGGGTAACCCTGTCTTCGTACGTTTTTCATACGTGGTAGAGCCACGCTGCAGCTATATTAGTAATATAGTTCTAGCACGAATGGATTAGCTCGACCGTAGATGGCGCTCTCACAGAATACCACCGCAAAATAGCAGCTCAACGCTGCTTTGTTTCGAATGTTGTTAAATAAACTTTTAGCTTCACCACTTACCACCCAGTGGCATTGTAATCAATATACTAAAGGAGTACTTAAATTATTCTGAAGAACAATTTAGACACAACATAAAGCTGATGTGAAGCACCGACGCTCCAGGAAGTCTCCAGTACGTCAACATGTTCAGGATCGTCCCAGCCATTATATCAGATTTCATAGACCACAAATCTTCACAAAAGAACACCAAGTCCTACCGATGATGATTCGCGAAGCTATTAAAATTAAAAGAACATCCTAATTTTAATACAGAAAATGGCTGGGTACTACCATCGGCTTGGGAAATTAAATCCAAACCCAAGGATACTACTGCAAGACTTCAAGAGATATCGTAATGTCAAAAATCTTAGATCCCCCGTGACCATGTGAGCTGGAAAGTGCCCGAAACGTCAGGAATTGAAAAAGTTAAAATTAAACGCACTAGAATTATTAAAAATAACAGAAATATTGAAATTAGTTTTATTCCATGTGTAATATTCGCGTGAATATAAGAAACCATTATTCTGAAGAAATATATTCATTTTGTGCAAATTTTATTACAGTATTTGATGTATTGTTTTTGTCTAAAGGCCTCGTAGTAATGCAAAAAAAAGTTACCGCCACACTTGGATTTTATGCTAAATCGTGGAGGCGTTTAACAGGTATAACATGCACACGGACCTCAACAAAAAAGTATTTATAGACAAAAAAAATTTGTGAATATTTTAATTGCGTTTAATTTTTTTATAGAATAAGCACTCAGTCTACCTGGTGGTAAGTGGATGTTGTGGCCCATAGACATCTACATTTAAACTCGATTAAGAATCAAAATGCAGATCCGTTGTCACCCCTGAAGACTAAGATGGAATGCCTCGATTCCATTAAAACGGGTCTCCGATTCTTTACACTCACCATACGAAAGACAGCAGCAATAAACTGTTATTTTACGCTGGTATAAAATACTAGTAATAACAATGGAACAGTTTTATATTGTAAGTTGGGAATATCAATTTATCAGCATTAGGTCTCACATTGTGTCGCATTTTATCGTACAATTGTCCTGCTTTACTAAACGACTTCTCTCATAACATTCCCGGACATGGTTAAGACTCTCCCAAAAATTAGGCG